TCGCTCTCTCTCTCTCCTCTCTCTCTCTGCATCTTTCTCTCTCTTTTCTCTCGCTCTCTCTCGTCTCTCGCTTCTCTCGTCTCCTCTCTCGTCTCTCTCTCTCTCTCTCTCTCTCTCTCGGTCTCTCTCTCTCTCTCTCTCTCCTCTCCTGCTCTGTCTCTGTCTCTCTCTCGTCTGTCTCTCTCTCTGCTCTGTCTCCTCCGGTCGTCGATCTCTCTCTCTGTCTATCTCTCTCCTTCTCTCTCTCGTCTGCTCTCTCTCGCTCCTCTCTCTCTCTTCTCTCTCTCTCTCTCTCTCTCTCTCTCTCTCTCTCTCTCTTCTCTGTCTGTCTCTCTCTGTCTGTCTCCTCTCGCTGTCCTGTCTCCTCTCTCTTTCTCTCTCCTTTACGCTTTCTCTCTCTCTCTCTCTCTCTCTCCTCCTCTCTCTCTCTCCGTCCTTCTCTCTCTCTCTCTCTCTCTCTGCTCTCTCTCCCTCTCTCTCTCTCTTCTCTCTTCTCTCGCTCTCTCTCTACTCTCTCTCTCTCTCTCTGCTCTCTCTCCTCTCTCTCTCTCTCTCTCTCTCTCTCTCTCTCGCTCGCTCCTCGCTTCTCTTCTCTCTCTCTCTCCCTCTCTGTCTCACTCTCTTCTCTCTCTCCTCTGCGCTCTCCTCTTCTCTCTCTCTTCTCTCTCTCTCTTCATTCCCCTCTTCCTTTGCCTACTTATCCCAATACACATATACGTCTCTCTCGTAGGCGGGTCGGAAGACAGTGTGGAGGAATGTAGTAGAGGAAAGTGTTAGTCATTCCTTCCCTCCCTCCCATTCCTCCCTTCCTCTCTCCCTCTCCCTCCCCCCCTCTCCCCGATCTCTCCCTCTCTCTCTCTCTCTCTCTCTCTCTCTCCTCTCTCTCCTCTCTCGCTCTCTCTCTCTCTCACTCACTCACTCACTCACTCACTCCACTCCACTCTCTCCTCTCTCTCTCGCTCTCTCTCTCTCTCTCTCTCTCTCTCACTCACTCACTCACTCACACCACTCAACTCACTCACTCACTTCACTCACTTCTCTCTCTCTCTCTCTCGGCTCGCTCTCTCAGCCTTTTCTAACTCCGTTAAACTCATTGGAGGGGGAGCCCTCCACCTCCCTCCTGTCCCCCTCCCATTCTCCTATCCCCCCCTCCCTTACATTCCTTCAATTCAACTCCCTTTCCTTACTTATTATCTGCCCTTCCTCCCTCGCCTCCCGGCCATTCTCCCTGGCCCTCCCTTCCTGCATCCCCTCCCTCCTTCCCATTCCCCGTCCTCCCCTCATTTCTTCCCACTTTCCCTTCCTCAATTTCGTCTAATTCTTCCTCAATCCTCCCCTCCCACTCTCCTCCCCCTCCCTTCCTATCCCCTCTCCCTCCACTGGCGTACTCCTGCCTTGTCCCTTATCTTCCCGCCTCCTCCCCCCTTTATTCCTCCCTCTCCCTCCCCTTCCTGTGCCGTCCTCCTCCTTCCTTCGCCCTTCGTCTTCCTTATCCGTCCTTCCACTCCTTTCCTTCTTCCCTCCCTCCTATTCCTTTCCCCCTCCCCTTCCCTGTCTTCCCCCCCTTCCTTCTCTCCCCCCCAATCTCCCCCCCCCCCCTCGCCCGGCTCGCCTCTCTCCCCTCTCTCCTCTCCCTCTCTCTCTCCCCTCTCTCGCGCCTCGCTCTCTCTCTCTCGCTCTCTCGCTCCCTCGTTCTCTGCGCCTCTCTCTCCTCTCTTTTCTGCCTCTTTCTCCTCTCCCTCTTCTCCCCCCTCCCTCGGCTCTCCCTGCCCCCTCCCCGCCCTCCCCTCTCGCCCCCTCCCCTCCCTCCCGCTCTCCCCCGCCTCCCTCTCTCCCCTCCCCTTCCCCTGTCTGGGGTCGCGAGTTCAGTGTTTGCTTCCCCACTATCTTTCTGAATTCGTGAATGGTGAGTCAAGTGTGAACTTAATACGAACAAATAGCGATAAATTGTTATTCTGAATGATGATTCAGAGAGGGGAATTTCCCCTCTTTTCTGGCTATCGCTTGGGAGCCAAAGTAATTTTCTTTTTTTTCTTTCTTTCTTTTTAGGTAAAGATGAGGGGATACGAGGCCTGGTAGAGAAGTAATATGTAGGGAAATGGCAGGGGAAAGGGGGGGAAAGGGAGGGAGAGAAATGAATGGGGAGGGAAGGGAGAGGGGGAGAGGAGAGAATAGGGGAGAGAAGAAGAGGGGGAGAGAGAGGGATAGAGGGAGAGAGAGGAATGAGGGGAGAGAGGAAGAGGGGCAGAGAGAGGAAGGGGCAAGATGAGCAATGAGGGCAGAGAGAGAATGAGGGGCAGAAAGAGGAAGAGAGTTACAGAAAGAGAGAGAGAGAGAGAGGATGAGATGAGAGAAGAAGGAGAGAGAGAGGAGAGAGAGGAGAGAGAGAGAGAGAGAAGAGAGAGAGAGAGAAGAGAGACAGAGAGAGAGAGAGAGGGGAGGGAGGGAAGGGAGGGAGGGAGGGAGGAAAGGAGAAAGAGAGAGGAGAGAGAGGAGGAGGTGGGAGGGTAGAGGAAAGAAGGTGCAGAGTGAAAGAGAGAAAGAAGAAGAGGGAGATGAAAGAGAGAAAGAAAGAAGAAAAGAGATAATCGAAATGAAAGGCGAATAAAGAGGAAGAAGAAAGAAAAATAGAAAGAATAAAGAAATTGGAAAGCGGGTTCCGAGTCTTCTTTAAAAAGGCTGGATATCTGCGTATCGAGACTGACACTGTCCGCCTCCGATTGCCGCATAGCCCCCCCTTCCCCCCTCCCCCTTCCCGCCTCCTTCCCTTCCCTTCCCTTTCCCCTGCCCTGTCTTTCTCTCTCTTTTTTCTTTTCTTTTTCATCATCTTTCTTTTTTTTTTCTTTTCTTTTTTTTTGGCTTTCTCTAATTTGTTATTTTTGTTTTGTCCGATTTCCTTTCTGTCTTTGGCGGTTGGTTCGGTCTCGGTTTCTCTCTCGTCTGTCTTTCTTTCTCTCTCTTCTTTCTTTTCCCCTTCATTTTCTCTCTCTTTCTCTTTCTCTCTTCTCTCTCTCTCTCTCTCTCTCTCTCCTCTCGTCTCTCTCTTCTCTCTCCTCTTCTCTCTCGTCCTCTCTCTTCTCTCCTTCTCCGTCTCCTCCTTCTCCTCTCCTTCTCCCTCCCTCCTCTCCTCCCTCCCTGTCTTTTCCCTCCATCCCTCCCTTTCCCGTTCTTCTCCTCCCTGCTCCTTTCCTCGCCTCTCCCCTTTTATCTATTCCTCCTCTCCCTCTCCGACTGTCCCTTTCCTCCTCCCAGTCCCCACTCCCCCCACCCGTTTTTTTTTTTTTTTATTTACGAAAACATGGATATTGATGAAATAATTAAACTCCCTTCATTAAGTCTCCCTTCCTACCCCCCCCCCAAAAAAAAAAAAAAAAAAAAAAAAAAACTAATCCGATCCCATTATGCGATGCCCTTAAGCCTATATATTCGTCGTATTAATTTCTCTTTTATTTATGGACCATCGTTATTTATTGATTTAAATTCACGATTGCAGGCTGCGGGGTTTTAAATGGCTGGAAAAGGAGAGCGGTTTGCAGAGAATTTTTTTTTTTTAATGATCATGGCCTGTGATTGGCTGGGTTGAAGTTGATGACGTCATGAGTTGATTGCGTCATCATGTTGGCGTCGACCAGTGGGAGGGAATTTTGTGTTTTTTTCGTCTTTTTTGTTTTTATTTTTTTTCGTTTTAGAGCGGAAGGAAGAATCGGGGGGAAAGGAAGGAGGAGAAAGGGAGGAGGAGGAGAAGAGAAGAGGAGGGGAGAGAGAGACAGGATATAGAGGAAATATTGGGGAGAGCGGAGAGAGAGAGAGAGAGAGGGATGAGAAGGAGAGAGAGAGTGGGGAGAGATGAGGGAGAGAGGGAGGAAAGAGAGAATAAGAGAGGTGAAGTGAGAAAGGGGGAGAGAAGAGAGTGAGAGGATAGAGGAGAGAGAGAGAGAGAGAGAGAAGAAATACAGACACACAGACACACAAACAGACAAAGACAGTACTAAAAAAAAAAAAAAACAGAAAGAAAGCGAACGAATAAGACAGACAGACAGGAAGAAAGCGAACGAAAAAAACAGAAAGAAAGCGAACGAAAAAATACAGAAAGAAAAGAAGCGGAAAAACAAACAGAACAGAAAGAGAGAAAAAACAGAAACAAAGAAAGCGAATCGAAAAANTTTGCATGTAAATTCGGGGCTCAAGAGAACGGTCTTTGGCTGCTCAAAAAGCTGGAATAACGTTGGAGGAGATCCAAGGGACTCAAGAAACGGGCCGGAAAATGCGTAACACACTGAGGTTCTTGGCAACGGAGGCAGATTTCCACTTTTTATGATTATTATGATGATTATTATAATGTTTCTTCTTCTTCTTCTTACTCGTTCCTGGGATTCCATTTTTTATGTTTTTTTTGTTGTTTTGTTTTTTGTCGTATTGTTTCTTGTTTTCTATCTTCTTTTTGTTAATTTTATCTTCTATTTTGCACCTGTTCTTCTGACTTATTTTGTAATATGTGTATAACACTTTTTTATTTTTTGTCTTTTATTTTTTTCTTTAAGCCTTTTTACTTACTTTCTACATATCCAGATGCATTAAAACTAAGCACTAAAGTTCAGATTATTAATTAACAAGCTTCGTAATAAAAAATCTGAATCTAATACCACTATTTTTCTTTTCCCTTTTTTTGCCTCCAAAAAACAATTTCAAAACGAAGCTGAAAAACAGGCAAACATCACCTTTTACACAATCAGCACTTAAAAAACACCTAAAAATCCTACACAAAAACAACAGAGAAAGAAATAAGAAAGAATAGAAAATCTGCAGCCAAATACGAGTTATATAAAAGAGAAAAAAACAGAAATTCACAGCAAACACAAAAAACACAACAGCGAAGGAAAAGAATCCACCGCAAAAAAAAAATAAAAAATAAAACATAAAAAAAACTCAAAAGCAAAACTCCCGCAACAAAACGACATGACGGCGTCGAATCCAGACGAGAAGCCCGAGAAGAAGCCTACCTCCTCATCGTGGTACCAGAAGATGTAGGGCGGCGGTTCGGGGCTGTACTTGACGAGGCAGGTGAGGTTGATGACCGATCCGGCGTCGATGTAGAGGTCGGGGCCGCCGAACACGGTCGTCTGGGGTTCTGTGGGGGTGGGGGGAGGGGGGAGAGAAAGGGGGAAGGTGGTTTGTGAGTCTGGTCGTTGAGAGGGATGGAATCGTGTGTAGGTGGTTTGCTTGTGTGTATGCGTATGGGTGTAGGAGTATGTGTATTACTATATATAAATATATATATATATATATATATATATAATATATATATATATATATATATATATATATTATATATATATATATATATATATATGTGTGTGTGTGTGTGTGTGTGTGTGTGTGTGTGTGTGTGTGTGTGTGTGTATGTTTGTGTTTCTATATAACCAGACACATTTTCTATTTTATTATAATATATATTTTTTTCAACAATTAATTATATTCAATATCTTTCCCCGCCTACCCCTCACCCCTACCCACACCCCACCCCATTACACTCCCCTACTCCTGTACCCCCACCTCCCCCAACCTCCCCCCCCATCACTCACCCCATTACACTCCCCTACTCCTGTAACCCCTCCCCCACCTCCCCCAACCTCCCCCCTTCACTCACCCCATTACACTCCCCTACTCCTGTCCCCCCCACCTCCCCAACCTCCCCCCCCCCTCACTCACCCACAACAGAGAGCCACACGGTGTGCGTCAGCGGCTCCGTGGTGGACACCTGGCACTCGTAGGGGCCGGCGTCGCGGTGCTGCACGTAGTGGATCTTGAGAAGCCAGTCCTGGGAGCCGCTCTGGTGAACCGCCTTGAACCGCTGGTCGCTGGTGTACGTGAACCGCCCGACCGTCAGGAGGTGGAGGTCGCGGGTTCGCATCCAAGACAC